ACAAACAGATGGAGAGATATACCATGTTCCTGGATTGGAAGAATCAAAATTGTGAAAATGACTATACTACCCAAAGCAATCTACAGATTCAATGCAATCCCTAATCAAACTACCAATGGCACTTTTCACAGAACTAGAACAAAAAATTTCACAATTTGTATGGAAACACAAAAGACCCCGAATAGCCAAAACAATCTTAAGAACGAAAAACGGAGCTGGAGGAATCAGGTGCCCTGGCTTCAGACTATACTACAAAGCTACAATAATCAAGGCAGTATGGTACTGGCACAAAAACAGAAATATAGATCAATGGAACAGGATAGAAAACCCAGAGATAAACCCATGCACATATGGTCACCTTATCTTTGATAAAGGAGGCAAGAATATACAGTGGAGAAAAGACAGCCTCTTCAATAAGTGGTGCTGGGAAAGCTGGACAGCTACATGTAAAAGAATGAAATTAGAACACTCCCTAACACCATACACAAAAATAAACTCCAGATGGATTAAAGACCTAAATGTAAGGCCAGACACTGTAAAACTCTTAGAGGAAAACATAGGCAGAACACCCTATGACATAAATCACAGCAAGATCCTTTTCAACCCACCTCCTAGAGAAATGGAAATAAAAACAAAAATAAACAAATGGGACCTAATGAAACTTAAAAGCTTTTGCACAGCAAAGGAAACCATGAACAAGATGAAAAGACAACCCTCAGAATGGGAGAAAATATTTGCAAACAAAGCAATTGACAAAGGATTAATCTCCAAAATATACAAGCAGCTCATGCAGCTAAATATCAAAAAAATAAAGAACCCAATCAAAAAATGGGCAGAAGACCTAAATAGACATTTCTCCAAAGAAGATATACAGATTGCCAACAAACACATGAAAAGATGCCCAACATCACTAATCATTAGAGAAATGAAAATCAAAACTACAGTGAGGTATCAACTCACACAGGTCAGAACGGCATCATCAAAAAATCTACAAACAATAAATGGTGGAGAAGGTGTGGAGAAAAGGGAACCCTCTTGCATTGTTGGTGGGAATGTAAAGTGATACAGCCACTATGGAGAACAGTATGGAGGTTCCTTAAAAAACTAAAAATAAAACTACCATACAACCCAGCAATCCCACTACTGGGCATATACCCTGAGAAAACCATAATTCAAAAAGAGACATATACCACAATGTTCATTGCAGCATTATTTACAATAGCCAGGACATGGAACCAACCTAAATGTCGACAGACAAATGGATAAAGAAGATGTGGTACATATATACAATGGAATATTACTCAGCCATAAAAGGGAATGAAATTGGGTCATTTGTAGAGACGTGGATGGATCTAGAGACTGTCATACAGAGTGAAGTAAGTCAGAAAGAGAAAAACAAATATTGTATATTAACGCATATATGTGGAACCTAGAAAAATAGTACAGATGAACCAATTTGCAGGGCAGAAATAGAGACACAGATGCAGAGAACAAACATATGGACACTAAGGGGGAAAGTGGTAAGGGTGGGGGGTGGTGTGATGAATTGGGAGATTGGGATTGACATGTATACACTAATATGTATAAAATGGATAACTAATAAGAGCCTACTGTATAAAAAAATAAATTAAATAAAATTCAACAATTAAAAAAAAAAAAGAGAGAGAGAGATGTACCACAATGTTCATTGCAGCACTGTTTACAAGACCCAGGACATGGAACCAACCTAAATGTCCATCAACAGATGAATGGATAAAGAAGATGTGGCACATGTATACAATGGAATATTCCTCAGCCATAAAAAGAAACGAAATTGAGTTATTTGTAGTGAGGTGGATAGATCTAGCGTCTGTTATACAGAGTCAAGTAAGTCAGAAAGAGAAAAACAAATACCATATGCTAACACATATATATGAAATCTAAAATTTTTAAAAAATGGTTCTGAAGAACCTAAGGGCAGGACAGGAATAAAGATGCAGAAGTAGAGAATGGACTTGAGGACACGGGGAGGGAGAAGGGTAAGCTGGGACAAAGTGAGAGAGTGGCATGGACATATATACACTACCAAATGTAAAATAGATAGCTAGTGGGAAGCAGCCGCATAGCACACGGAGGTCATCTCCATGCTTTGTGACCACCTAGAGGGGTGGGATAGGGAGGGTGGGAGGGAGGCTCAAGAGGCAGGTGATATGGGGATAGATTTATACGTATAGCTGATTCACTTTGTTATATAGCAGAAACTAACACAACATTGTAAAGTAATTATATTCCAATAAAGATGTTGAAAAAAAATGCTGATGCCAATAGACAGCTGGGTTATAAATTCATCTATAACATGTCATTATACTTCTCGATTTGGGCCCATTGCCCCTACTAGACTATAACTTTCTCGGAAGTAGAACCCACATCACTTTTTCTCCACAGAGCCTAGCTAAATGTCCAACACAAATTTTCAATAACTCTTTGTGGAATAAATGAATAAGTTAAAGAATGACTGAATGAACTATATCTTTCCCAAACAGATCATCCTTTTACATGCTAAAAACATCCAGAATAACAACAGGAGCTGGACTGCAAGTCCATGAAGTAGGTTCTACGTCTGCAAAGAACTTGAAGAGAGAGACCTAGGGCTGACAGATTACCCAAAGAGTAATGATAGCAGACATAAATAGTAAATGTAAAGGGGATGGTAGATAGCATAAGCCTTGAAGGACAAAGGGGTTTTGCACCTATGAGGATGAAAGCACAAGGGGAAACCAACTGGATGGCAATACTGCCTCCCAGTGGCCCTTGGGATAAAAGCCTGTCACCATCTGTAAAATAGGGATAATATTAGTACCTATCACATACATCCTTGACAGCATAGCAAATGCTGTATAAATGTTAGCTATTATTATGCCCTTTTTCCTGGTGAGGAAAACTTATGTTAAATAAATCAAGCATACAATAGGAACTCAATAAATAAACTTCCTTTGCTTTCCCCCCTTATGTCTTAGCTCCTTACAGTGTGCCCTCCTTAATGGTCCTGAAATTTAAATAGGGGACTCCCAAATAGCTCAAAGAAGTCAGGGAGCAATAAGGAATCTCCAGTAAAGAAACTGAGAAAACTCCATTAAAAAGCCCAGGGCATGTGGTTCTGGAAAAGAGAACTCTACTGGCACTCTTGTTACGGTTATTAGAGTGAAGACCTTCCCAGCAATGAAATTCACTCTACTGAAAACAGGATGCACGGAGATTGTGAAAATCAACTAAGATTTGTGCAGGATGTCACATTTCTAGAAATATTCAAATAAATATGATCTGTCCAGAGCCTATTTTTCACCACTTTGCCCACAGAAGCTAAGGGACCATGATCACTTTCAAGATTGGGCTAATAATAACCTACTAGAGAGTCTATTCTCTCGTTGTTTTCCTACTATTATTGTAAAAATAAAATTCATGAAAATGATAGTTTTCAAGTGACACAACACTGATGTGATTATCAGACTGCCCACCCCAGTCCACCTTTGAGATGAGATGTATCTTTACCTGGTAAGACTTATTGGCAGATCTGCACATCGATAGCAAACAGGCTCCTTTACATGGAGAGTAAAGCTCTCCATGCTTCTGCAAGCTTCCTCTGATTCAGATTTTAGTATTCCTGGGTGTTCTATTTGAGACACTGAATATACAAACAAACAATGACCAGACCATATTTAAAAACAGAACTCTGACCCACAACCTGCCTGAAGCCTACCCAGGAAACCAACCCCCTCATCTATAATAAACAGCCCAGGAAGCCAGCCTGCTTAAGTCAGACTTGTAGGAAGTCAGACTGCAATGTCTAGTGATAGTCCAGGAAGCCAAATAACCCATATAACAATCTGCTCAAAATATCCAGGACTTGATTAACAACTGAGAGCTTCCCTAATTTTTGTCCCCACTTCCAACTTAGGACCAACCAGAGAAAGCCACATATGCACCCCTAACCAATCACATAGGATGCCCCTCTCTTGAGTTAGCCCACCTACAACTTACCCATGAAAACAGCCTTGAATCAGGACATACCTGAAACCTTCCCTTTTTTCACTATTAATCTTTTCCCCTCCTCTGACTGTCTATGAGTCTCTGCCAAAATACAAGTGATGGTGGCTGACTCCCTTTCTAAATATAGCAAGCTCTTGAATAAATAGCTTTTGTTTTTCTCATTTGGTTGGTCATCATTTATTTCCACATATTGAACCTAGTAATTCTACAAAGAACTAATTTCCAAACCCTCTTTAAAAGATATTGGTTGGGTTTCCCTGGTGGCACAGTGGTTAAGAATCCGCCTGCCAACTCAGCGGTCACAGGTTCGAGCCCTGATCCGGGAAGATCCCACATGCCACGGAGCAACTAAGCCCGCGCGCCACAACTACTGAGCCTGTGCTCTACAGGCCGCGAGCCACAACTACTGAGCCCATGTACCATAACTACTGAAGCCTGCACGCCTGGAGCCCATGCTCCACAACAAGAGAAGCCACTGCAATGAGAAGCCCGCGCACCGCAACGAAGAGTAGCCCCCATTCCCGCAACTAGAGAAAGCCCATGCGCAGCAACGAAGACCCAACTCAGCCAAAGATAAATAAATTTTTTTTTAATCTTAAAAGAGATATTGGTTAACATTGTTTAAATGTGTTGTTTCTAAAACAGTCATAAAGTTAGCGGAGAACATCTCTTTTACTTCATCTTAATAACCTAAATCTATATGCTCCAAGGCTCACCTTTAGGCAGAAGATATCTCTGGAACGGGCGCAGCGTCCCTCTGCCCACCTGAGCAGTGGAGTGTCAAAGCGGGCGGGTGGAGACCGCGGGAGCGCCTCCCTCGCTCAGGCGGACCTCCGAATGGGAACTACAATTCCCAGTGGCCCCTGCAGACCGTCGGCCGCGGCCACGATGCGCCTGCGCAGTGGCGGGGGCTCCGGCTGTGTGGTTCCCGCCATTTCTCGCGGCAGGCCTCCCTGGGTTGAGTTCCGCGCCTCATGGAGGTGTTTGACCCCGTCGAGCTGCCCGAGCTGCTTAAGCTTTATTACCGAAGGCTCTTTCCCATGGCGGAGGTGATGGAGGCGGGGAGCGGGGTGGGAAGTGGGTTGGGAGGGGAACGTGAGGTTTCAGGAGGGTACCTTGGAATGACAATATGAAGCGCCTCCCGTGCGCCAGGCGTTGTGCCGGGCACCGTCGTGCGTTATCTTGAGCCCTCCCCCTCACCTCTGAGGTGTAAATGGGCCGAGAGAGGTTGTAACGACCAGCCTACCGCTACGCATTGTAAGGCAGAGCCGCTGCTCCTATCACTCCTTGGTCAGACTCAAGTGGTCGGACTCACTTTCGGTTCGGTGTTTATCTGCAGCCAAGGGGGGTTACCGGGTCATAGCATGAAGCTGCAGAGGCGTGATCAGCTCAGGGACAGAGGGGCATTTCCTAAAAGAGGAGAGGTACTTAACTCTTCCCAGGAATTTACTAGTGCCCACCGAGGAAAGAGAGGTGGTATTACGTATTGAAAATATTTCTGCATCTTTTTCCTCATTTTTACTTTTCCCTGTTAGATGCGGGATGGTAAACCCCTTCAAATTAGGAACTAGTTCTTGTCTTTTTTTTTTTTAACATGTAGCACAGTGCTGAGCACAGAGGACTGATTAAAAATATCTTCTCTGGGGTGTGCTCAGAGCAGGGGGTCTGAAGAAATGGCTCATCTGTTTACAACACATCCGACAGGAATCAGGGTTCACTGTGACATGGGGCACAAAACTTGTGGCCTTCCTATGAACAGATACCCAACACGTATCCCCCCTTCACCTGCACGTGGCTGCTGGGCAGGACCAGTGGGACAGGGCTCAGTACTGGAAGGAAAGTTACAGTTTTCAGTGGGGGAGTTTGCCACCTGGAGCCTGTCCAGTCCACGTGTGGCTGGGCCATGAGTGGTGTTATAGGCATAAAGGCTTTGAACCCCTCTCTTCAAGGAAAAAAGAAAAATGATTCCGTGTATATGCCATTCTGGAAAAGGCAAAACAATGGAGACAATAAAAAGATCAGTGGTTGCCAGGAGTTTGCAGGGGAGGGGAGATGAATACATAGAATACAGAAGTTTTTATGAGCAGTGAATATACTTTGTATGACATTATAATGATTTTATGTCATCATACTATTGTCCAAACCCGTAGAACGTGCAACACTATTCACTTCATAAAGCGAACCCTAAGATGAACTAGGGACTTTGGTGATTATGATGTGTCAGTGCAGTTCAGCCTTAATTTAAAAAAAAAGTCTTAAAAAGAACACTCAGGGTAGACGTTTTTGGCAAAACCTTTGTTTCACTTTTATATATGTATACACATTATATATGTGTTTGTTGGACTGTGATGTAAAATGTGCTTTTTAGAATAAAAAAGTTTGCAGTTACTGTAGTTATACTGACAAAAGCACAAATTAGAAAGAAAAAATATATATCTTCTCACTGGTTAATGTTTTAATGCTCTGAGCTGGGTAAAGTACCAAATTAACTTTTAAAGTGTACATTTATTTTGCAGTGGTAAAGAATTACTTTCAACACCGTGAATTTTCCTTCACATTGAAAGATGATATTTACATTCGTTACCAATCCTTCAACAACCAGAGTGATCTGGAAAAGGAGATGCAGAAAATGAATCCGTACAAGATTGATATAGGCGCGGTATATTCCCACAGAGTAAGAAATCGATTTTTTATGTAGTTTGTTGTTTTTTAAACCAAGAATGGATTGGTGCCCCTAGCATTTTGAGATAAATTTTTAGAGCTTATTTTAGTTGAAGAGCCACAGATTGTCCTTTGATGCTTTACATTACTGACTGGAAATAGTTTGGAAGTGAATTGGTTGTATTCTCACTAGGACAAAAAAAAGAGTATCTGGCTAAAAGACTAGGAAGTCAGCATGGTTGAGCACAGAGGGCATTGGAGAGAATCATTCTTGATTTCTCTATTTCTCTCACACCTGTATCTGTTCACTAGGAAATCTCTTTAGCTCTAACATAACAATATCTAAAATCCAACCACTGCTACTAGTGCTGCTACCATCATCATCACCATCTCTAATCTAAATTACTGTAAAAACTTTCTAACACTTTGCTCCTGTAGACTCTAGACTCTATTCTCAACACAGCAGCCAGAAGGATCCTTTTAAAACAAGTAAGATTGTCATGATTCCTCTGCTCGAAACCGTTCTCCAGTGGCTCCCCATTTCACTCCAAGTAAGAGCCCCTCTCTCCTGTTCAGTCACTCCTCACCTGCCACAATGGCCCGTGCTCAAGCAGTTTCCACTGCCTAGAACCCATTTCCCCAAATATCTTCTTGGTTCATTCCCTCACCTCCTTCAAGTCCTTACTCAGTGAGGCGTCTACAGCCTGCCATTCCTCCTACCCGCTCACCTCACTGATACATTCTAAGTGCCTAGAATACTGCTAGGCAGAGAGTACACAGTAATTATCTGCTGAATGAATAAACATACCAAAATTGCCCTTCTTCCTCTCCTTAAAAATACACACATGGTGGGGAAAATATACACATGAAATAATAGCTTTCGTATGGAGCTTTTTCATATGTTGTATAACTTGTTTTTCATATCAATCCTCATTATTCTTTTTTTTATATATAAATTTATTTTGTTTATTTTTGGCTGTGTTAGGCCTTTGTTGCTGTGCGCGGGCTTTCTCTAGTTGCGGCGAGCGGGGGTTACTCTTCATCGCAGTGCGTGGGCTTCTCATTGCGGTGTCCTCTCGTTGCGGAGCACGGGCTCTAGGTGCGCAGGCTTCAGTGGTTGTGGCCCTTGGGCTCAGTAGTTGTGGCTCACGGGCTCAGCCACTCCACAGCATGTGGGATCTTCCCGGACCAGGGCTTGAACCCACGTCCCCTGCATCGGCAGGCAGACTTTCCAACCACTGTGCCACCAGGGAAGCGCCCTCATTATTCTTTTTATAAAGGAGAACTTCAATAATTTGCCCTAGGTCACACAATTTCTAAATGAGGGAGATAGGACCTGAATCCAGGTTTTCTGACTCTAAATTCCAGGGGAAGGGGAGAAGAAGAGGTAAGATAAGGCAGGCAGGGAAAATGCTTTGGAACAGTTTACTCCTCTTCAGAGGTGGAGATTAAAACTGAAGTCTCATGCTTCCCTGGTGGCGCAGTGGTTGAGGGTCTGCCTGCCGATGCAGGGGACACAGGTTCGTGCCCCGGTCCGGGAAGATCCCACATGCTGCGGAGTGGCTGGGCCCGTGAGCCATGGCCGCTGAGCCTGCGCGTCCGGAGCCTATGCTCCACGGCGGGAGAGGCCACAGCAGTGAGAGGCCCGCATATCGCAAGAAAAAAAACTAAAAACAAAAAACTGAAGTCTCTGTAGAAGGGTCAAGTTGTCACTCTACTCCTTCTCCCTAGCACAGAAGGGGGGGTATAGTGTCATTTTTTAAATTGGACCAAGACAGAGGCATCTGTACACCTTTTTTGTGTGTTTTGTTTGTGATTTTTATCAGTTACATATTCGCGTAGTTTACAGAATCAACTACTATTAATTAGGCTTTTTTTTTTTAAGGTCTCCTACTTTTCCCCCTAGTTTTTGCTCCCCAGAGGCAAGCATTTTCTTTTTACTGATTGTTAATGTATTTGTCTCCTTGTCTCTAAATAACATGATTATATTTCTTCTGTTTCTCCATTTTAAGTATTATCTACTGACTTTCCATTCTGGCAGATGAGAGTTTAGGGTTTTTTTAGTCTCACCCCCTACCCTCACCATACAGAGAACCTTCCTATTACCACATGCTCTTAGTATGTTTGTTAAAAATTAGGATTAGATCACTAATTCAACCCCAAACTGCTAATTATATAAATCTCCCAATGTATTCAGATCCATCAAGTATTTTGTCAGTTTCATCCTGAAGAAATTTCTCCTGCAGCCTTCTTAACTCCTCCTCTCTAAGCCTGACGGGTAAATATGAACTTGTAATCACCCTGGTTTCCTTTCACCTCTCCTGTGATCCTTGTTGCCTAGATCCTATGTTCTGTCTTTGGTTTACTCCCTTGTTTTGGTGGAGCACATCCTCCAGGAGATTCCTAAGAAAAGGTGCATGGAAGACAAAATATTTCATACCTTCTGTATCTGGAAAATGTCTTCATTCTATCTTTATGCTTAACTAATGATTGAGTTTGTAAATCATTTTCCCTCAGAATTTTGAAGACATTGCTACATTATCTTCGAGCTTCCAATGTTGCTGTTAAGAAGACTAATGCCATTCTGATTCCTGTTCCATTGTGTTGGACCTGGAAACTCTTAGGATTTTCTTTTAAAAAAAAATTTTTTTTTATTTCTTTAATGTTGTATCTGTTTTATTTATTTTTGGCTGCATTGAGTCTTTGTTGGTATGTGCGGGCTTTCTCTAGTTGCGGCAAGCGGGGTCTACTCTTCGTTGTGGTGCACGGGCTTCTCATTGAGGTGGCTTCTCTTGTTGCGGAGCATGGGCTCTAGGCACGTGGGCTTCAGTAGTTGTGGCGCACGGGCTTAGTTGCTCCACGGCATGTGGGATCCTCCCTCACTAGGGCTCGAATACGTGTCCCCTGCATTGGCAGGCAGATTCTTAACCACTGCGCCACCAGGGAAGCCCTGCTCTTAGGATTTTCTATCTATCCCCTCTGTCCCTAATGGTGTACATCTTTTTTCATCTATTGTGCTAGATACCTGATGAACACATATGATCATGAGCTCGTATCCTTCAATCCTGGGAAATTTTCCTTTTTTTTTTTCTTTAATAGACTTTATTGGAGTATAATTGCTTCACAATACTGTGTTAGTTTCTGTTGTACAAAAAAGTGAATCAGCCATATGCATACATATGTCCCCATATCCCCTCCCTCTTGAGCCTCCCTCTCCCACCCCTCTAGGTCATCGCAAAGCACCGAGCTGATGATCTCTCTGTGCTATGCTGCTGCTTCCCACTAACTATTTTACATTCGGTAGTGTATATATGTCAGTGCTACTCTCACTTTGCCCCAGCTTCCCCCTCCCACCCTGTGTCCTCAAGTCCATTCTCTATGTCTACATCTTTATTCCTGCCCTGCAACTAGGTTCATCAGTACCTTTCTTTTTAGATTCCATATATATGCGTTAGCGTATGGTATTTGTTTTTATCTTTCTGACTTACTTCACTCTGTATGACAGACTCTAGGTCCATCCACCTGACTACAAATAACTCAATTTCGTTTCTTTTTATGACTGAGTAATAGTCCACTTTGTATATGTGCCACATCTTTAGCCATTCATCTGTCAATGGACATTTAGGTTGGTTCCAAGTCCTGGCTATCGTAAATAGTGCTGCAGTGAACATTGTGGTACATGTCTCTTTTTGAATTATGGTTTTCTCAGGGTATATGCCCAGTAGTGGGATCGCTGGGTTGTATGGTAGTTCTATTTTTAGTTTTTTAAGGAACCTCCATACTGTTTTCCATAGTGGCTGTATCAATTTACGTTCCCACCAACAGTGCAGGAGGTTTCCCTTTTCACCACACCCTTTCCAGCATTTATTGTTTCTAGATTTTTTTGATAATGGCCATTCTGACCCTTTTTATTTTTTTAAATTTATTTTTTAGTTTTATTGATCTTTGTTATTGTTTTCTTTGTTTCGATTTCATTTATTTCTGCTCTGATCTTTATGATTTCTTTCCTTCTACTAACTTTGTGTTTTGTTTGTTCTTTCTCTAGTTCCTTTAGGTGTAAGGTTAGATTGTTTGTTTGAGATGTTTGTTATTTCTTGAGGTAGGATTGTATTGCTATAAACTTCCCTCTTAGAAGTGCTTTTGCTGCATTGCATAGGTTTTGGATCATCGTGTTTTCATTGTCATTTGTCTCTAGGTATTTTTTGATTTCCTCTTTGATTTCTTCAGTGATCTCTTGGTTATTTAGTAACGTATTGTTTAGCCTCCATGTGTTTGTGTTTTTTACGCTTTTTTCCCTGTAATTGATATCTAGTCTCATAGCATTGTGGTCAGAAAAGATGCTTGATATGATTTCAATTTTCTTAAATTTACTGAGGCTTGATTTGTGACCCAAGATGTGATCTATCCTGGAGAATGTTCTGTGCGCACTTGAGAAGAAAATGTAATCTGCTGTTTGGATGGACTGTCCTATAAATATCAATTAAATCTATCTGGTCTATTGTGTCATTTAAAGCTTGTGTTTCCTTATTAATTTTCTGTCAGGATGATCTGTCCATTGGTGTAAGTGAGGTGTTAAAGTCCCCCACTATTATTGTGTTACTGTTGATTTCCTCTTTTATAGCTGTTAGCAGTTGCCTTATGTATTGAGGTACTCCTATGTTGGGTGCATATATATTTATAATTGTTACATCTTCTTCTTGGATTGATCCCATTATCATTATGTAGTGTCCTTCCTTGTCTCTTGTAACAGTGTTTATTTTAAAGTCTATTTTATCTGATATGAGTATTGCTACTCCAGCTTTCTTTTGGTTTCCATTTGCATGGAATATCTTTTTCCAACCCCTCACTTTCAGTCTGTATGTGTCCCTAGGTCTGAAGTGGGTCTCTTGTAGACAGCATATATATGGGTCTTGTTTTTGTATCCATTCAGTGAGCCTGTGTCTTTTGGTTGGAGCATTTAATCCATTTACGTTTAAGGTAATTATTGATATGTATGTTCCTATTACCATTTTCTTAATTGCTTTGGGTTTGTTATTATAAGTCCTTTTCTTCTCTTGTGTTTCCCACATAGAGAAGTTCCTTTAGCATTTGTTGTAGAGCTGGTTTGGTTGTGCTGAATTCTGTTAGCTTTTGCTTGTCTGTAAAGCTTTTGATTTCTCCATCAAATCTGGATGAGATCCTTGCCAGGTAGAGTAATCTTGGTTGTAGGTTTTTCCCTTTCATTACTTAAATATGTCATGCCACTCCCTTCTGGCTTGTAGAGTTTCTGCTGAGAAATCAGCTCTTAACCTTATGAGAGTTCCCTTGTATGTTGTCATTTTTTCCTTGCTGCTTTCAATAATTTTTCTTTGTCTTTAATTTCTGCCAATTTGATTACTATGTGTCTCGGCGTGTTTCTCCTTGGGTTTATCTCTGTGCTTCCTGGACTCAGGTGGCTATTTCCTTTCCCATGTTAGGGAAGTTTTTGACTATAATCTCTTCAGGTATTTTCTTGGGTCCTTTCTCTCTTCTCCTTCTGGGACCCCTGTAATGCGAATGTTGTTGCATTTAATGTTGTCCCAGAGGTCCCTTAGGCTGTCTTCATTTCTTTTCATTCTTTTTTCTTTATTCTGTTCTGCAGCAGTGAATTCCACCATTCTGTCTTCCAGGTCACTTATCCGTTCTTCGGCCTCAGTTATTCTGCTATTGATTCCTTCTAGTGTATTTTTCATTTCAGTTACTGTATTGTTCATCTCTGTTTGTTTGTTCTTTAATTCTTCTAGGTCTTTGTTAAACATTTATTGCATCTTCTCGATCTTTGCCTCCATTCTTTTTCCGATGTCCTGTATCATCTTCACTATCATTATTCTGAATTCTTTTTCTGGAAGGTTGCCTATCTCCACTTCATTTAATTGTTTTTCTGAGGTTTTATGTTGTTGCTTCCTCTGATACATAGCCCTCTGCCTTTTCATCTTGTCTTTCTGTGAGTGTGGTTTTTGTTCCTCAGGCTGCAGGATTGTAGTTCTTCTTGCTTCTTCAGTCTGCCCTCTGGTCTGACCCTTTTTATTTTTAATATAATTTTTCCTACCTATTTTCTCTGGTCTCTAGAAATCCTAAAGGCGATTTTATGTCTTAGACTGGTCTTCTAATTCTTTTTTTTCTTCCTTTTTTTTTTTTTTTTTTTTCTTTTTTTTTTTTTTTTTTTGCAGTACGCGGGCCTCTCACTGTTGTGGCCTCTCCCGTTGTGGAGCACAGGCTCCGGACGCGCAGGCTCAGCAGCCATAGCTCACGGGCCCAGCTGCTCTGCGGCATGTGGGATCTTCCTGGACCGGGGCACGAACCCGTGTCCCCTGCGTCGGCAGGCGGACTCTCAACCACTGCACCACCAGGGAAGCCCTTTCTTCCTATTTTTTAGTCTCCTTTTTCTCTACTTTCTGGGCAATTTCCTTTAGAGTTTTTCATTTCTGCTATTATATTTTCATTTCCAAGAACTTTTTTTTAGTACATCCTGTACTTTTTTCATTGATACATCTTCTCTCACTGAGGATATCAATGATAGTTTTTAAAATTTTTTTCTGTTCCACAGGCTCTTTTCTCTAAAGGTGCATTTTTTCTGTTTTTTCACTCTTTCATATCAGAGGTTTTCCTCATACGTCTGGTAGTTTTTTGCTTGTTGCTTATATTTAAGAATAGAGTACTAAAAAGCTGATTGGAGACTCTGTATACATGGCTGAGATTTCTTTACTACAGAGTGATCTGGCTGGGCTGTTTTATTGGGGCGAATCTCTGATGTCAATTTCTCTAGGTCTTTGCTAGAATGAAAACTCCAGTTGATCACTTATCTATTCCTAGAGCCTAATAACAGTGCGTGGCACACTTGGACAGAGTCTTCAGAAAGGAATCTTCCCGTCTCCTGCCTGGGGTGTTAGTGGAAGGGTACAGAGGAGAGGGCTGGGTCTCAGCATTCCCCATGTAAAGGTCTAATTAATCCTCTGAATATCTGTACAACACATCCTTCTTCAACTGTGCCTGTTGTCCCCTCCCCAGCCCAGAGACCCTCTGTTTCACACTCTGCAGATAATAATTCAGGTGTCTTTGCCAGGGAAATGGAAGCACAGTCACCTAGCTCCACGGAGTAAGTTTAGCATTATGGGGAACTAACTGCTTCATAAGTAGATTTTAAATCAATCCTCTTGTTTTTAATCTCACCTCCAGAGATGCCTGTTGTCACCTATTCCTGAGACTCTTGGGGATTCTGAGGTATAAATTGGATTCCTTCTTATTCTTTACTGAGAGCTGAAGATTCGGTTTTTTGGTTCTCCTTATAAAAATTGTGGTGGTATTGTCTCCTCTCAGGTTCTTTTTTTTTTTTTTCCAGGACACCTCTTTATTGTGTTAGAAAAGGTTGGTTGCAACAGTTTCTCTAGACATGGAAGGCAACACTGTCTCCAGACCCAGGGGGACCAGAAAATTTATAGCATCAGAGGAAAGCCAGGGCAGGAAGCCAGAGCCTACTAAGGACAGAGCTGGACTTAAGACCAGAATATTTTCTTCCCCCTGCTCCTTACCCAAGCTCAGGGTTCTTGCCCCAGCTTCAAATGCCAATACATCATCCTTCACCCCAAGATCCTCCTAGCTACCACAATTCAACAAAGGTGCAGTTGGGGAACTTCAGGGTGGGAGTACAGGCTGTGCCCCTAGCCCCGTGGCCTTTGCTCACCCTGAGGTACCCAGTGCCTGTCCCTCAGCCAGCTGTGCCTCCTGGGGAAGGGCCTGGTCATGCAGGTCAGGCAGGGAAAGGGGCTGCTCGGGTCAGCACCAGGCCCCTCTCTGGTTCTTTTTTAAAAGACTTACGCCAGGGCTTCCCTGGTGGCGCAGTGGTTGAGAGTCCGCCTGCTGATGCAGGGGACACGGGTTCGTGCTCTGATCCGGGAAGATCCCACATGCCGCGGAGCGGCTGGGCCCGTGAGCCATGGCCGTTGAGCCTGCGCGTCCGGAGCCTGTGCTCTGCAACGGGAGAGGCCACAACAGTTTGAGGCCCGCATAACGAAAAAAAAAAAAAAAAAAAAAGACTTACGCCAATGAACTTACTTACAAAACAGAAATACAATCACAGAGACTTCACTGGCGGTCCAGTGGTTAAGACTCCGCGCTTCCAACGCAGGGGGTGCGGATTTGATCCCTGGTCGGGGAACTAAGATTCCATATGCCGTGAGGCGCAGCCAAAAAAAAAAAAAGGAAATAGGGTCATAGATGTAGAAAACAAACTTACGGTTACCAGGGGGGAAAGGAGGGGGGAGGAATAAATTGGGAGATTGGAATTGACATATACGCACTACTACATATAAAAGATAACTAATAAGGACCTACTGTATAGCACAGGGAACTCTCTACTCAATACTCTGTAATGACCTATATAGAAAAAGAATCTAAAGAGTGGATAGGGACTTCCCTGGTGGCCCAGTGGTTAAGACTCTGCACTTCCACTGCAGGGGGCTCGAGTTCCATCCCTGGTCGGGGAACTAAGATCCTGCATGCCAAAAAAGAAAGATAAAAAAGAGTGAATAGGGGCTTCCACGGTGTGCAGTCGTTGAAAATCCGCCTGACAATGCAGGGGACACGGGTTCAATCCCTGGTCCGGGAAGATCCCACATGCCGTGGAGGAACTAAGCCTGTGCACCACAACTACTGAATCTGTGCTCTAGAGCCCGTGAGCCACAACTACTGAGCCTGAGAGTTGCAACTACTGAAGCCCACGCACTGCAACTACTGAAGCCCACGCGCCTAGAGCCCGTGCTCCACAACGAGAGAAGCCACCACGATAAGAAGCTTGCGCACTGCAACGAAGAGTAGTCCCCACTCGCCACAGCTAGAGAAAGCCCTCACGCAGCAACGAAGACCCAACACAGCCAAAAATAAATAAAATAAATAAATAAATTTTTTTTTAAAGTGGATATATGTATATTTAAAACTGATTCACTTTGCTGTACAGCAGAAACTAACACAACATTTTAAATCAACTATACTTCAATAAGAATTAAAAAGTAAGTGAATGAATAAAAGACTTGTGCCTTTCTTTAAAAAAAAAAAAAACGGGCTTCCCTGGTGGCGCAGTGGTTGAGAGTCCGCCTGCCGATGCAGGGGACACGGGTTCGTGCCCTGGTTTGGGAAGATCCACGTGTCACGGAGCGGCTGGGCCCGTGAGCCATGGCCGCTGAGTCTGCACGTCTGGAGCCTGTGCTCCGCAACAGGAGAGGCCACAACAGTGAGAGGCCCGCATATCGCAAAAAACAAAAAACAAAACAAAAAAAATTTATTTTTGCACAGGTTTAGAGAAAGCCAAATAAGTATTTGTATTCAGTCCACCTTCTTTACCAGGTAGTCCATCGCCTCAAAGGAGATTACTTACAGCTTGAACCAGACTAATGGAGAGACCTTTTTGAATTATTGAAAATTTTAAAATACATTTCTGTTACTTATATGTCCAGTAACAATTAAAGGTCCTTAAAATACCTTGCAGTAGGGCATTAATTATTTGTACTTTTCCTTATCAGAAACCTAAAAACTCATTGTTACGATTTCTATTGATCAACAAATGTTTATTATACAATGTCATATATGTCAATTATATCTCAATGGAACTAGAAAAAAATATGGTAATATGTATTTATCACATCTTGTTTTAAGTAGATGAAAGTTACACTGTCATCAATTCTGGTTGTATAGGATCAAGTCAGTGAGCTTCAACTGACATAGACTTGGCATTATATGGTTTCTTCAATTCTCTTTGGCCACTTTTTCTGTGTAGGTAGAAAATAAGCATATCTGGCAGCATGGCAGCTGTCATAGAAACTGATTGTTATTTTGTACTTGTAGCCCAATCAACACAATACAGTGAAGCTGGGAGCTTTCCAGGCTCAGGAAAAAGAACTGGTGTTTGACATTGACATGACAGACTACGATGATGTGAGGAGATGTTGTAGGTGAGTTCCACGTGTTTTGATGGTAGGTGGGTGGTGTCACTGACAATGAGTAATGATGATTCTGCTCCAGTTCTGCAGACATATGTTCTAAGTGCTGGACCCTCATGACGATGGCCATACACATCATTGACCGAGCATTGAAGGGCAAGTATTAACAGTATCTGAGTGGGGTCAAATGCGAGAATCTGTTTTCCTCTGAATATTAACCTGTCTATACCATTTTATAGTCAAATCTCATAAATCCCTAACATGTTTCTTTCAAACATATGGTAGGGAAAATAAAAGATTAGAATAAAGTTGTAGTTAAAACTTTGATAAAGCTATTGATCAAATCATTTAATTTTTTCCCAATTCAATCTATTGAGCAACTCTTGCAAGCTAGGTACTGTGCTAGATGAGGGAACTATGAAAGATAACAATTCTTACTTCAGGTAGGTTATGCAGTCTAAGGAGGAAACAAGAAAATTCAGGATAACATATGCATTAATATGCACGGGATGCTATGGGGGTATAGAACAGCAGGAGTGCATACAGGAATGGGAAGAGATTAGATGAGAAGAGGCTTCCTAGAAGAGGTGATGATGAGGATGATAATGATAATAATAATAGCTAACTGTTATATAGGGGGCTTATGATGTACCAGGCACTGTTCCAAACACTTTAAATTTATTAACTCTTTTAATATCCCTAGACTGGGTCTTTAGAGATAAATGGCAGTTGGTCAGGGAGAGAAATGGAAGTACTGGGGCATGAAGACATTCTTAGCAGAGAGACCAGGATAGGTAAAGAATTGAAGGCAAGAGCATGGGGGGCATGGGAAACTATTGGTTTGGCCAAAACGTTCATTCGGGGTTTTCTGTAAGAGGTTACAAAAGACTCGAATGAACTTTTTGGCCAACCCAATACAAATAATGTACAGTTGACCCTTGAACAACGAGGGTTTGAACAGTGCATGTCCACTTATACAGATTTTTTTTCAATAGTAAATTCTACAGCACTATATGATCTGTAGTTGGTTAAATCTGCAGATGTGGAACCGCAAACAGAGGAACTGATGCAGAGGAACTGTTTCTATGGAGGGCCCACTATAAGTTATACATGGATTTTCGACTGGGGAGCTTTGGCACCCAAACCCCACTTTGTTCAAGGGTCAACTAATATAGTTAAGATGAGTACATGTGGATAAGAGGTTAAAAAAATGAAGCTAAAGAAGTAAGCAAGAACCAGGAATTCATAGATTTGTTTTAAAACCTATTTTTTCTCCCCTCCTCAGAGGACTTTGGATTTAAACATCGTCTCTGGGTATATTCTGGAAGGAGAGGTGTTCATTGCTGGGTCTGTGATGAATCAGTTAGAAAACTGTCCTCTGCAGTACGTTCTGGGATAGTTGAATATTTGAGTGTTGTAAAGGTAAGGTCTTCTTAATGATATTTACATTTCTTTGTTTGCTAGATATGACCAAGCCTGGTATGTTTAGTAACAAAATTAAACTATCTTTTAAGAATTTTTATTTCAGAGTAGGTGATTTTACCAGTAGATCAATTAAAATCATAGTAGCTACATTTTTTAAGATGCTTCATATTTTGCTGTTAAGCATCCCCCTTTGTGGCATAAGGAAGATTAGTTTACTTTTCTGGTTCAAGTATGTCAAGTAAAGTTAACTCAGAAAGTTACATGTATTGAGACTATATAAAATGTCATCCAAGGTTCTATACTTTGACAGAATTTAATCAATATCTTTAGAACACGTTAAAGAAAGTTTTAATTATTTCATTTGTGTTACATAATATACACGAAGTGTTTTTGTGATGGTTTGTTTTTCAGGGTGGTCAAGATGTTAAAAAGAAAGTTCACCTAAGTGAAAAAATTCATCCTTTTGTCAGGTCTGTTGGAAAAGACTCCATGAAGTTTAAGTTGTGTCTGATTTACCTGCATGTGCTTTTAGAATTACCTGATTAATTTTGTCTCCTGGGGTAGCATTTTACAATAATAATAGCTAGAGTTAATTGAGTGTCTGTTTTATATGCTCCAGTATTCATGATAGGTGCTTCACAAATATTCTCATTGGTCTTCACAACAACCTCATTAGATACATGATGATATCTCCATTTACAGATGAGAGAAGTGAGATTTGGAGAGATTGTATAATTTGCTTGGCTTCACACAAGTAATTATTAAATTCAGGATTCATGTCCTGGTCTGCTTGATTCCACTGAATTCACTACTTCTCCAGGATAATGGAAAGAGGATTTGTATTAGGAGTAAGAATCCCTATTCTGCCAGTTTAATACAACCTTGATAAATATTAGAGCCTCTGTTTCTTATCAGTATAGGGAGAACAATGTCTGCTCCATCTATCTCACAGAGTTGTGGCAAAGATAAAATGAAACAGTAGAGGGACTTCCCTGGCGGTCCAGTGGTTAGGACTCTGCGCCTCCACTGCAGGGGCCGCGGGTAAATAAATAAACAGTAGATGTGAAGTCTATTTTCAAACTGCTAAGCACTGTATAAGTGTTGAGATGTTAAAGCAAGCAATTCAGAGTAGAAACTATAGACTGTATCCCACATCCTACTACTGATGTATTATTATGCTGTCCTGACTTGGTTGCTTTCCACCCTTGTTACAAACTAATGATGCGTGGAGTTTAAGAAGTAAACATTTCTTGAATATCTAGTCTAAACCAAGTATTATGCTAGGTTCTTTCCCCTTAGAGTGTCTCATTTAACTCTTATAACCCTGTGAAGAGATGTAATTCCAGTTTTATCTAGTTAAGTTTTAGAAATTCAGTGAAAATAAGTACTAGCCTTCCAAGTGGACAAAAGCCATGTGGCATACGTGTTGCTAATAGTGTTGGGACTTTGTTATTGTTATTCCTACAGAAAATCTATAAACATAATAAAAAAATACTTTGAAGACTATGCCTTGGTTGATCAAGATATTCTTGAGAATAAAGAAAGCTGGGATAAGATTTTAGCCCTTGTTCCTGAAAATATCCTTTCCCAAGACCATTTCTATGTGAGCTACTTGTATTGATCTATGATATTATAAGTGTGTTCCGCCTACATATTCTCATATGTTTATAAGTCTAATGTTTTTACACAAAACATCTCCTGTGTTTCTCTAGTCTGGAATACAATAAGAAGCGAGGCCGTTTTGTAAATAAATTTCCTCATTTTGAAAGTTGATCCTCCTAAAATTAATGACTACTTAAAGGATGTGGGATAATCCTCAAAATATGTACAGACCAGGGACCAGTTTTACCTTAAACTTTACAGTTATTTTGGCATTCTTTGTTATATCTAATATAGTTTAACAAGGGAATTTCTCTAAGGATATGTGTTTAATATTTGCGTTTTAGAAAACAATAATTACTTTCTATGTGAACTTTAGATATCCTTGTGGTAATACATACTGAAAATAAGTTGTTCATTGATGTGCCCTAAATGAGTGTGTTCCTTAATGACCCATCACCAATGCATGATGAACTTCAACAAAGCTTCCAAAAGCATCACAATTCACTTCAGCGCTGGGAGCATTTGAAGAAAGCAGCCAGCAGATGTCAGGTATATTCCATTGAAATCTGTGTTACAAATACAATAATGCAATTTTTAATTAAATTCTGATTGTTTTGCTTACTAAGTTAAAGATGGTTGAAGATCACTTTTTAACCACTTTAAAGAAATCCTCAAAAATTCCTACTGATCCTCACGCTGGATTTGCATCTACTTTTAGAATAACAGCAAAAATGACAAATGTGGACCCTGGCTTGAGTGGGAGATCATGCTCCAGTACTGTTTTCCACGACTGGATATCAATGTTAGCAAAGGAATCAATCATTTACTGAAGAGCCCTTTTAGTGTTCATCCTAAAACAGGTACTATGTAAAGAAAGTAAGGAAAATAAAAGAAAAATCAAAGTTATTTTTTGTTTTAGAAAGCATATCACTGGGTGTGAATGTCTGAAATAGTAAAGGTTGAAGACTTGTTCTGTCAGCTAATGCCCGTGTTCACTGACTTTTCAATTGTTGATTAGTAGCTGCCTGATGAGTTTCCTCTATGTAAATAATTTTTAGTTGGGTTTCTGAGGTTCATTGTTAGAAGTAGAGTTGGAGAGGAACTTAGAAATCACAGAACAATAGCTCTCATTGTACAGATGAGAAAACAGTGGCCCAAGAGGTTAAAGTGACTTGTCCACAGTCTTAAAACAAATTGTGGGGAATACCCTGGTGGTCCAGTGGTGAGGACTTGGCGCTTTCACTCATGGAGCCCGGGTTTGATCCCTGGTCAGGGAACTAAGATCCTGCAAGCCTCGCAGTGCAGCCAGCAACTTTGTTCACTTTGTTATAAAGCAGAAACTAACACACCATTGCACAGAAACTAACACACCACTGTGCCACCAGGGAAGTCCCATAAATAATTTTTTTTTAAATACACCCAAATTGCCTTGTTTCCTTTAGTAATCTACAGTGACTCTGTAGTGTATACATTTATACAGCCCCTTTTCAGACCTGCCAACACATAGGTGTCTTTTCAATTTCAGCAAATAACTCAAGGTAATGAAATGAACTATTTCCATCTATTCTGTTCCATTTTGAGGACTCTAAATTTGAGACTGTTGTACTTAAATATAGGAGGATATAGGGAATAGGAAGATAGAAATAAAAGTAGAAATAACAGCAACTAGGTAATAGCTCAACAGTCTTTCACATCTATTTTTTGGTGTTTTGTTAAGAGAAATAAAAGACACACCTAGGGCTTTCTTGGTGGCACAGTGGTTGAGAGTCCGCCTGCCGATGCAGGGGACACGGGTTCGTGCCCCGGTCCGGGAAGATCCCACATGCCGCAGAGTGGCTGAGCCCATGAGCCATGGCCGCTGGGCCTGCGCGTCCGGATCCTGTGCCCCGCAGCGGGGGAGGCCACAGCGGTGGGAGGCCTTTGTACCACAAAAAAAAAAAATGACTATGAATTAATTATTGTTAAAAAAAAAAAAAAAAAAAAGATGTGCCTAAATACTGTTCTTAACAGATGAGTCTAACCCTCTTTTCTAAGCCTTAGATTAAAATTTTAGCCAAAAATAACTCATAGGAGACAGCTTATAATGATCTGTATTCCACAGTCTTCAGTTTATAACTTTTGATTCTCACAGGTCGCATTTCTGTGCCTATTGATTTACAGAAAGTGGATCAGTTTGATCCATTTACTGTTCCAACCATAAGGTATGTTCCAGATTACTGATCACTCATTTTTTGTTTGTGATTGTTGTTATAAATGTGACGTATGTTGGATTAGATCCCTTCAAGAGAGGCAGCTTCTCTGAGGCTGTATGATGATGCCCTGGCAGAGCAACATTTCCTAGTGAGTTCCATAGAAAACAAGTTTTTCAGCTGCTATTATGCAAAAAAAGAGTTCAAATAAGTTTGGGAAATGCTGACTTAAGCAGATTAAAAGTTCTTTACTACAAAATTTCCTGGTCTTTAATATGCTAATGTGCATGGAAAACTCCAAGAAGAGATTATCGTGTTTAGAATATCCCAAATTTAGTTGGCCACACAAGTTTTTCACAGAAAATCTTGTGCGATTCATGTGCTTTCATACACTGGGCAATGTTGACCAAGAACCAACTTTAAAATTATCTTATTCTACTATCTGTAGTTCCATTTGCCATGAATTGGATGTTATTTCCACTAAAGAAGAAGAAAAAGAGAACGGAGCTGAATCTGATATCAAACATAGAACCAGAGGTAGGTTAATATATTGAAGTCTTACTTTAACATAATCTTTCTATATAGACATCTTTCTGTGACTCCAGTAGTTAACTCACCTTGGATTCAGACCAGAATAGATCAATGTTTATCCTGAAACCAGCTCAGTAACAAATAATATTATAGCAATGTTTCTGTCCTTCATCAATTGCCCGAATGGTGCTGTTGAATCCAATTTGAGTCAACAGATATTCACAAGTAACATCTGAATGCCAGGATCTATATTGTAAGATTAAATTGTCAGTTGGTTTTGATAGTTGTTTGAATCTCACAGTCTTTTTTTTTATATATACAGCAGGTTCTTATTACTTATCCATTTTATACATATTAGTGTATATATGTCAATCCCAATCTCCCAATTCATCCCACGACCACCACCACCCCCTGCCACTTCCCCCCCTTGGTGTCCATACGTTTGTTCTCTACATCTGTGTCTCTGTTTCTGCCCTGCACACAAGTTCATCTGTACCATTTTTCTAGGTTCCACATATATGCATTAATATACGATATTTGTTTTTCTCTTTCTGACTTACTTCACTCTGTATGACAGTCTCTAGATCCATTCATGTCTCTACAAATGACCCAATTCCATTTCTTTTATGGCTGAGTAATATACCATTGTATATATGTACCACGTCTTCTTTATCTATTTATCTGTTGATGGGCATTTAGGTTGCTTCCATGACCTGGCTATTGTAAATAGTGTTGCAATGAACATTGGGGTGCATGTGTCTTTTTGAATTATGGTTTTCTCTGGGTATATGCCCAGTAGTGAATCTCACAGTCTTATATTCAACAACTATTTATTTAACAACTACTATATATGCAATATTTTGTTCTCTACTTTGTTTTTATATCTAGATGAGTGTTCTGTTAATTACATGTCTAAACTGTGATTGAATTGTATATTCAAGAATTTGAAGGAGCTGGGAATATAAAACTTCCTGTTAGTGAAAGTCAAATCTTATACCAACACCCAAGAGACACTATAGCAGTAGAGTCCAATAATACTTTCTGTGATGATGGAAATGTTATGCATGGCCCAAATGGTAATCACTAGCCATATGTGGCTTTTGAGCACTTGAAATGTGAGAAACTGGATTTTTAATTTCATTTAACTTTAAATAGCCTCATGTGGCTAGTGACTACTGTAATGGGCAGTGCAGATCTCTCATCTCTGACCTTTTTAGTCAAATGTTGCTACCCTTTTTTCAGATTCCAAGTTCAAATATCACTTCATATATTCTAGCTCTAACATAATACGTAAACAAGTACATTCCACCATCATTATTTGTAGAATGATTACAAGCATTCTGTTTAAAATATTGGGGAAAAGTCTCCAACATAAATAAACTGGAAAAAAGAACTCAGGGAAAACAGACAATGCAAGGAACAAGGAAACCTTTTTTGGTTTTGTTTTGTTTTGTTTTGTTTTTTGTGGTATGTGGGTCTCTAACTGTTGTGGCCTCTCCCGTTGCGGAGCACAAGCTCTGGACGCGCAGGCTCAGCGGCCATGGCTCACGGGCCCAGCCGCTCCACAGCATGTGGGATCTTCCCGGACCAGGGCACGAACCCGTGTCCCCTGCATCGGCAGGCGGACTCTCAACCACTGTGCCACCAGGGAAGCCCAGGAAACCTTTTTTTAAAAAAAACGATATCTGGTCTTCCCTGGTGGTGTGGTGGTTAAGAATCTGCCTGCCAGTTCAGGGGACGTGGGTTCAAGCCCTGGTCTGGGAAGATCCCACATGCCACGGAGCAACTAAGCCCATGCACCACAACTACTGAGCCTGTGCTCTAGAGCCTGCGGACCACGGCTGCTGAGCCTGCGTGCCACATCTATTGAAGCCTGCGCACCTAGGACCCTGCGCAACTAGGGCCCACGCACAGCAACGAAGACCCAACACAGCCAAAAATAAAAATAAATATAATAAATAAATTTATATTAAAAAGAAAAACGATATCCTCAGAGAATAAGAGAAGATAGTGTATCCATGAAACAAGACCAGAATGCTATGAAAAAGAAACACTCAGAGAATAAGAAAGAGATCTTAAAAATCAAAAAAATCACCATTTGAATAAAAAATTCAATGGAAGGGCTGGAAGAGAAAAGTTGAGATTTCCCAGAAAGTAATACAAAAAAAGACAAGTTAGTTGTTTTTTTAAGGAGAAGAAAGATGAAATTAAAGACTGGTTCAGGAGGTCTAATATCTGACAGAAAAAGAATAAATAAAACAGGGAGGAAAGAATTGTCAAAATTATATAGGACAACATCCCAGAAATGAGCCCTTTGTTGAAAGGGCTCAGCATAATAAGAATGATGTGCCTACACTAAGGCACATCATTTTGAAATTTAACACTGAGAATTAAGAGATCTTAAGAGCTTTCAGACCCCTTCCTACTATCCCTCCCCAACAAAAAAGCCATAGAGCTAGGAAGAATGGCCTTAGATTTCTAAGTAACAATGGAAGTATTCATTTTTAGAAGTGAATGCTAGGAAAGAAAAAAGTAGTTGCCATTCAAGAAGATGGAGAGGTCAGAATTAGGGCAGGAGGCTACTATTTTTTTCCACTATAAACCTGTTAGGACTATTTTACTTTTTTTAACCAAGTGTATATATTACTGTAACACAACTTTTAAAATTTAATATTACCTCTTTGTGGACATCTTTTTCCTTTGTTCAGAGGTTTTGAGCAAGCAAGTTTTGGCTCCCTATAAGGAGAAGCTTTGTAATAAATACAAGTGTTCAAACATAAACTGCACTGCCTATCATTTCAAGTATTCATAAAGGCTAATAGCCATCAGTAAATCAGGGATGCTCTAGAGGTAGTGGGAGGCTGGAATAGGTGATATGTAAGTTCCTTATTATTTCTTTAGTTTCTGTGATTGTAAGCTTTTGTCCATTTTCAGATTAGTACCATTTGCTCCTTCCCTCTACTTCTCAAATCCTGGAATGTTCTCCACTCTCCTCTCTCTCTAATTAAATCTTTTTTATAAGACCTAGTTCATAGCCACTCAGTCAACTTTGATTGGTCAATTCCATTTTTCTTTTTTTTTTTTTTAAATTAATTTTATTTATTTATTTTTGGCTGTGTTGGGCCTTCGTTGCTGCATGCAGTGTTTCTCTAGCTGCGGCGAGCTGGGGCTACTCTTCATAGAGGTGCACAGGCTTCTCATTGCGGTGGCTTCTCGTTGCAGAGCACAGGCTCTAGGCCTGTGGGCTTCAGTAGTTGTGGCACGCAGGTTCAGTAGTTGTGGCGCACAGGCTTTGTTGCTCCACATGTGGGATGTTCCTGGACCAGGGCTTGAACCCATGGCCCCTGAATTGGCAGGTGGATTCTCAACCACTGCACCCCCAGGGAAGCTCTGGTCAATTCTTTGGACTCATACTTATCCATATGCCTGTTTGGCCTTTAATTATATATTGTTTTCTATCACTACATATAGGAGTTGTTTTTCCAGTTCATTCCAAAACTTCTTGAGGGAATTCCCTGGCAGTGCAGTGGTTAGGACTCCGAGCTTCCACTGGGCCCCGGGTTCCATCCCTGGTCGGGGAACTAAGATCCTGCAAGCCACACAGCATGGCCCAAATAAATAAGTTTTTAAAAATAAAAACTTCTTGGGCTTCCCTGGTGGCGCAGTGATTGAGAGTCCGCCTGCCGATGCAGGGGAAATGGGTTCGTGCCCCGGTCCAGGAAGATCCCACATGCCACGGAGCGGCTGGGTCCGTGAGCCATGGTCACTGAGCCTGTGCGTCCGGAGCCTGTGCTCCGCAACGGGAGAGGCCACAACAGTGAGAGGCCTGCGTACCGCAAAGAAAAAATAATAATAATAAAAAATAAAAACTTCTTGAGACCAAGTAGTATGGCTTATACATTTTTATAATTTAGCATAGTACTCAATATATTGTATAATAGGCAGTTGTAAATATTTGTTTAATTTGTATTTGTTTAATAATTATATGGAGAGCTTATTATATATTCTGCAATGGTGAAACAAATATAGAGGCCTTCATCCAAGGAGCTTACAATCTTGAATTAAAGTTTCAAAGTACAATGTGGTTGAACCCAAACTAAATTGTTTCTTTGGTATAAGTTTATTTATCTTAAGAAAATTTATATATTAAAAATTTAGAACAAAATTATAATCTACTTTCATAATTGCCACAATTGAGATATTCATCCTTAATACTCTCATCAAGATTCCTTTTCCAGTCCCAAGTAAGTCAGATAACATTTACTAAAAAAATTTTTAAGTATAGTTTCTTTTTTTGTTTTGTTTTCTGTTTTAAGATTTTTTGTTTGTTTGTTTAATTTTTTGGCCATGTGGCATGCGGGATCTTAATTCCCCAGCCAGGGATCGAACCTACACCCCCTGCAGTGGAAGCATGTAGTCTTAACCACTGGACCAAGGGCGAAGTCCCTAGTTTCTTTTTTTACTCTTTCCAGTAAACTATTATGAGGACTCTTTTTTTTTTTTTTTTTGCGGCACGCAGGCCTCTCACTGCTGTGGCCTCTCCCTTTGCGGAGCACAGGCTCCGGACGCGCAGGCTCAGCGGCCATGGCTCACGGGCCCAGCTGCTCCGCGGCATGTGGGATCTTCCTGGACTGGGGCACAAACGTGTGTCCCCTGCATCGGCAGGCGGACTCTCAACCACTGCGCCACCAGGGAAGCCCCTATGAGGACTCTTAATTCCATGCAGACAAAATCCAAATCTCATTTTGACCTCAATTAGATTTTTGCCTCCTCTGGGTATTAATTATAGATTGTTTAATTAAATGGATGATTAAGATTCTGTATTCAAATTTTTATGTACATTTTTAAGACTATTTTATAGATCAAAGAATACCTGTACTTAATGAATGTGACTATCAACTTCTGATTGTTTTCAGAAGGCATGGCCCTGACTTCACATTTTTAATGTTTTGCTCTGTTGGTAAAACTATTTATTATTAAAGCCACAATTTCTAAAGAAAGGAATGTTTGATGGGACTTAACACATAGCAGTAGATGATGCTATGACTGACTGCTAGAGTAGATGTGTACATGTGGTTTGGATGTTTTAGAGCAGCACCGTCTAATACATTAGCCACATGTGGCTATTAGCCACAGATTTTTTTTAATTTTAATTAATTTAAACTTAAAAACTGATAATCGATTCAATTATTGGAGAACTTTTAAGTATGTTTGGAAAAATTAGTTATATGAGCTTTTTTATCTATATTTTATAATTTAAATCTAGATCAAGTATTTCCAATGACAATATAGTATCTAAATTGAGATGTACTTTAAGTACAAAGTACTAGATTTCAAAGAAGTGTGAAAGAATGTAAAATATTTCAATCTTTATCACATGTTGTAATGATATTTTAGATGAAATGATATTTTAGATATAATGGGTTAAATAAAATACATTATTAAAATTAATTTCACCTTTTTAATATGGTTACTAGAATGTTTTAAATTACACATTTCTTATTATATTTCTATTGGACAGCACTATTTTAGAGAATTTTTACAAGAAACTTATACTTTCATGTTATTCTTGCTGCCAAAATGCTAATTATAATTCATGGTCTTCATAATTTAGATTACAAGAAGACCAGTCTAGGTCCTTTTGTAAAAGTTTTTGAGCAGTTTCTTGAAAACCTGGATAAATCTCGAAAAGGAGAACTTCTCAAGAAGAGTGGTAAGATTCTATACCTTTCCCTTATAGCTATTTAGGTCTTAGTACAGGTAGTTTAAAACATCCAGCAAGTGAACAATTTTTAGAGCTGTAATCTTTCTCCTCTCAAAAAAAGTTACTAGTTTATCTCACTATCCTTAGTATTTTGAAAACTGGGGTCCCTTAATTCAATTCAGCACACACTCATTTTAACACCTTCTATGTGTCAGGTACTATGAGGGAAACAAAAATGAATTATACAAAGATGAATTCCACATCATGGCTCCTCTGCCCTTAAGGAGTACTAACTGGTACAAAACAAAGAAGTACAAAATGCTAAGAGATCTCATCTGATTGAGAGAACCTGAGAAGATTTTATATGAAAAGGGTGGTGTTTGAACTCTATTTCAGTGAGCTGCTGTACAAATTCTAATCCCCAATGCTAATATATCATACCTTGAGGTATGAGTAGGATTTCCGCAAGCAGAGATTTGATGAGGTAAAGGTACAGGTGGGACAGGGAAGCTATTAAAGGTTTTTGAGAAAGGGAGTGCAATGATTTGTAGTTTTATCTATAATAGAAAGATAAATCTAGCAACAGTATATCTGGGGAGAAGCAGGGGATAGACTAGAGCCCAAGAGATCAATTGAGCTATTAGTATTAGGACAGTAGAGTTGGAGATCTCCAAAAAGTGCAAATACTGGAGCCATCCTTAAAACTTGGTAATGATTTTTTGGAAGTTGAAAGATCTAAGTAAAAGTGTCACAGAAGCCAAGGGAAAGGAAAGTTTCAAGGAGATTATCAAGTGTCAAATGCAGTAGAGAACTGATAAAATCCTATTGGATATAAGAGCGAGAAGGAGGTGCTAGGAGGATAGCAGTGTCAAAGGAAGTGTTCTTCGAATAGGAGACGCCTGAGCATATGTGTAAGCCAAAAGGAAAAAATTCAACGGTGAATATTATTCAAGAGATTGATGGATACCATAGAAAACTGGCAGTGTTATAAAAATACAAACTCCCTTTCCACTTCATTTTTTTTTTTTTTTTTTTTTTTTTGGGGTAGGGGGGCCTCTCACTGTTGTGGCCTCTTCCGTTGTGGAGCACAGGCTCCGGACGCGCAGCCTCAGCGGCCATGGCTCACAGGCCCAGCCACTCCGCGGCATGTGGGATCTTCCCGGACCAGGGCACGAACCCGTGTCCCCTGCATCGGCAGGCGGACTCTCAACCACTGCGCCACCAGGGAAGCCCTCCACTTCATTTTTTAACAAAATGTGTGGTGGTTAAAAAGTAGTGCCTAAGATAATGCTCTACTCATAGTAGCCACTCAAATATGTGCTTGTTGAATGAACAGTGATGACTCTGAACTTGGAAAGCCTCATTGAAGCTGCCATTCCAACTGGTGATATTAAGTCCTTTGTATTCTTGTTCTGTACTAGCTCAGCCTATAATGTTGGCTTCAGCAAATGTGAAAGCAAATCTTTATGCATGATGTGAATTTAATGGAAGCATTAAGCAAATCAGGATGTGAAATAAATGGGCTTTGTTTTGTTTTCCTTTACTATCCTTGATAAAAATCTGTTCTATTTTAGATTTACAAAAAGACTTCTGAAGATAACAACTCGCTTTTTACCAATGTGGATATCTTCTCCCTTCAACCAAGAATCAAATACTTCAAGAGCCATTTAATAAATATAGCAGAACTGTGTATGTGTCTTAATGCTCAAAGCAAAATTTTCTTTTCTTGAAAAATAATTATGTTGAAAAGATTCCTGAAACCACCAAAGGAGAATATTCAGGTTCCTGGAAGGAGCAATAATAGGATATAAGTGGATTGCAGATTAATTTGTAAAATTTAATATTATAATTCTAAGATTTCTGATATAGGTACTCACTTCTACCAGTTGCCATATATGGAGGTAAGTGAGCAGTAATATGCCCAAGATTTTGATGTCAGTTCACCAGATTCAGCCTCCATATTTCTAGGTGAATGAGCGTTTTGTTCTTAAGTCTTAGACACTTAAGTCAATTATACCTGGAGTGTGTATTCAGTCACTCCCTAATTTTGCTTACTGATATTTTTATTGGTCAGGCCACACCCCGCTGCTTGTCTTTTAAAAAATTATTTTAAAATGAGCATCTACACCTACTAAAACTTTAGTTCAAAAGATATGAGTTACTATGTTACAATATTAGGGCCTAGTATTTTTTACAACTGTTGGCAATTGTAGCTCCTAACTTCTTCCCTCAGAACAATTTTCTAAGCAATTTAGAAAAAATAACCAACTTTACCAGCATAAAACCTTTTGTTCTTGTCAAAACACGTGGACTCTCTATATCTCCAGACACTTAAATTTAATTTTAAAGGTTTCATTTCTTCTGTATTTGATTTCATGTGATAGATTCTGAAGTGTCAGATTTCTTTTGCCTGGTTTTACAACCAACCTAACAAAACAGTCATTCTGGTTTACATTCTGTCTTTTGAGAAACACTGAGAAGCAAGCTATCAGGCTGGTGCTTTCTGTGAGTTATGAAAATTTTCCTTCCTTTGCACTACCTATAACATTGTTTTCTCCATTGCCACAGTCCGTTTTTGTTTTTGTTTTTGTTTTGATTTATATAAAACAAATTATATAATACAGTCAACACACTGAAATGCCTTTTATTTCTTTCTCTTTTCTAATTTTTTAAGAAAAAATATTAAAGACTATTGTGTAAAATTCCTCATCTGAGCTTCTGTTTACTATGTATTGTTCAGTCTTTTTGGAAAACAGTGACTGGTCAATTAAAACTCCTGAATACAAAATTACTAAAGACTTGGGACTCCTCTGGTGGTCCAGTGGCTGACTCTGTGCTCCCAATGTAGGGGACCCCATTTCCATCCCTGTTCAGGGAACTGGATGCCACATCCTGCAGCTACAAGTTTGCAGACCCAGCGCAGCCAAGTAAATAAAAAATTTTTTTTAATTACTAAAGACTCATTAGTCCATCCTAACTCAGAATGAGTAGAAAGACTGGTATTATGCTTTCAGCAAGAGATGTTTTAGGTTTCCAATATGTCTAGCATTAAAACATTTTAATGCTTTAATATTAGAGCCCTTGATAAAAACCGGTATAATTGCCCATAAAATAAATTATAGAATATATTGTGCTTGTGTAAAAGAGTGTTTGGTTCTTGAAGACAACAGAAACGTAAAGACTTGACTTCCCTAGCTGATTTGCCTTCTCATCCATATATGAGAATTGTAGAAACAAAGGGCACAGAACTGGTTTCCGTCTGCAAACTTGCCCAGTTTATAAAGAAACCCAAAGAAAGAAAATATGTCCTTCCTTAGCTAATCATTAACAGAGTTAGAAAAGTCAGTGGGCTTGCTGGGAAAGAAAGGGGAATGGTCAAAATGTAGTTTTGTTTGTCTAAGGAGATGGTTGGTTATTGCTGGCCCTTTCTTCTGAAGGTAAGTGGACTGCATTGACAAGTCTCCCAGATCACTATTAGGTAGAAATTCTATTAACAATTTTAACACTTTTTAAGTAATGTACATAATTTAATCTTCCTAACAATCCTATGAAGCAGCTACTGTTATCCCCATTTCATACATAAGGAAACTGAGGCATATATGTGTTAATTAAATTGCCGAAGGCCGCCATTAGGTAACCTAGCTGAGATTCAAACAAAGGACTCTGGCTTCAAAATCCATGTTCTTATTCACTCCATAATATTGCCACTCCTATCTAAAGAGAATTTCAGAATTTTTCATTCCTGGTAAACTCCACTATCTCATTTAATCCTAATTCACTAATCCTAATCCTCACTTCACTATGGTAAAATATCAGAAATTTTAAAGTAGGTTTCAAAGCATTGCTTATCTTAAAAGGCAGCCACCATTGTCTTAAAGCCACTAGCTCAAATACTGTTAGCTGGTTTAGGTAATGTATGTGTTGAGTCCTTTTGGAGAGAGGATATGGGAGTCAGGATCCCTAGCCTTTTCATTAACAAAACACTGTTACATTCTACTTTTCAAAAATCCTACTGTATAAAGCGTGGGATCCTGGGCCTCTAGAACGGATGAGTTTCAGGATATAATGTACAAAACAGAAGCAAAAAGAATTGTATATGTGCCTATGTTCTTTTTTCTGAATAGGGGAATTTACACCTTTATAATAATCTCAGTCTAAATTATGTATTATAAAAATAAAATTGAGGATTAACCTAGGTCACAGCTATCTTCCAATGGTGTAAATACAATCTCTGTGGCATTCAGCATTACTTAACACCATATTTTCCTGAATTATTTGAGAAAAGTCAGAAACTAGCAGTAATACTGCTGTGGCTACTTTACCGACGCGGGAGCAGAGTCTGCTTCTCCTACAATTGCCCTTCGCGTATCAAAAATGCCTCGACTTGGGGGACGGGAAGGGGTCGGCTATCTTAGGACTGCATGGCTCAGAAAAGAGAGTTGCTGCCAGGCCAGCGAGTCCTGTTCTAACTTCATACCCTTATTTAGACCTCGTCACCACCCCAGCCTGGAAACACCCGAATGGCTCACTGGCTAAAGGAAGTGACTGCCGGCAGCTCCTGACCCGGAATCGGATCCTGGTCCCGCCCCCTCCGCCAGGCTTCGTTCTGCAACAGGCGTGGGTCACGCTCTCGCTAGCTCTTTTTCTGCCGCCATCTTGGTTCTGCGTTCCCCGCACAGTAAGTGCTGTCTTCGTCACGACTTTTTATCCGTAGCCATCCGCGTTTCTTGCGGGCTGAGCCGCCCCGAGGACTGGAAACTAAGGAGAATTGGAGGTTTTATGGGGCCACCGGGTTCCTGCTTAGCCCTGGGCAGTGTGGCCTTGGGGCCTCCGGACAAAATGGGGTCTGCTGTTGATGTCCTGGCAAAAGCAGGGCAGAAAGGCCGTAGGTCGCGAGTCCAGGGCTGGGGAGTTGGGAGCCGCTGCGGCGTCGGGGATGGCAGTGGGTTGCGTCTGTTGTTGGGAACCGCTTCACGAGAACCTAGAGGAGGTTAAGGGGTCACAGCCTTGGAACAGCCCCCCGCACGCGCGCACACACACACACACGCACTCAGGCACACACCTTTCTTATTGTGACAAGCGAGTGTTGGGACCTAGGACCCCCTGTTTCTCCCCCTGGGTCCCGAAAGTCGGCAAACGGCAGTCCTTGAGGTCCTAGCCCAGGAAGCGGGGTGGGGGGGGCGGGGCGGCGAGGGGAGACGACTGTTCAAGGTAGCGTCTGAAGTCTCCCATCCCGTGCTCAGGAGCCAGACCGCGAGCCTTTCCCTCGGGTGGAGAACGCAGTGGTAATTGCTTCTGTGTGGGATTTGGAGTGTGGAATAAAACGAGTCCCTGGGCACTGGGAAATCCGCTCTCTGCAGAGTGTAGAGGAGCGGTAAAAGGTGGTGGTTCTGCTGATCAAAAATGGGAGGGTTACGTCGTGGTTTTCACCTATTCCAGCTGCTTTGGGACGGTTGTCCCACGCTTATGGTTTTCTAACAGCCCTCCGCAGTTTGAAGCTTGACTCTGGGTTGGGAAGCAGAACGGATCCGAGTCATTTCAGGCCTCCTTTTTATTCCCTTCAGAAATGCCCGGTGAAGCCACAGAAACCGTCCCTGCTACAGAGCAGGAGTTGCCACAGCCCCAGGCTGAGACAGGTAGGTTCCCCTAGACCCCTTGCCCTTGATTAAGATTGTAAGATCGACCCTAAAACTATTTGGTGGGTTAAGTGACAAATAGAATATACTTGTGTTTTTCAGTGTTGACTCTCATTAAAGAATATGGGGCTGCAGCTTTACCAGGGAGTAGAGTCCATAAAAGTAGCTTTCCTGAAAGGACTTGCTTAGAGAGTGGAATAAAAACCGTATATTTAAGATTCGGGAACATTAAAAGCTCCATGGCTAGCTTTGTAGGTTATGAGAGCTGCCTCAAAGGTAGCTCTGTTGTGGAACCCTCCCCTCACGTAGGAAAACTGAGCAGGAAAGGGACTCTGATTCTTACCTGTTGGAACTAGGTGACACACTGGCAGGTCCAGGAGACCTGAGCTTTTGTGAAGTTCCAGCCAGCAGGTTGCAAGGTTTTAGATGGCAGTGCTTGGCATTGTGCCATCATCACATGCCTGGATAAGATGTTTGCTGATGGTAAATGTGTCCTACTGGGCCCCAGGGCCCTCCTAGATTGGTTAACTTGTTTTATGGATTGGTGCTGAGATGTTTCTAGTGTGCTGGAACAGTGCCTGCATCAACAGCTTATCTGGAACCCAGAATTGAAATAGAGCCTTCCTTTGACTGCTCCTCGGCTTTGGGATTAACGAATGTAGAACGTAGTGTAAGGCAGGTTTTGAATTCTGATTAAAATACATTTCTATAAAACTTGAGAAGGGGTAGGAAAAAAAATTTTTTATGGTAGTCTTCTTGCTGATTAGTTGTGCAGAGCTAAATGAAGGAAATTTTCAGGCTGTGCCCTCCATCCTCACCTTTTTTATTCCCCCTTTATGGTAAATTAATTATTTTTTTTAAACTCCACCTGTGAGTTAACGGCAATTTTTATCTCTTTCTGGAATTAAAATAGAGTTGTTTATAGTTGAAAGCATTAAGGTTCTCCCTCCCCACCTGTCTGATTTTAGCAGCTGAAGGGATTAATACAGCTGCTAGCAAAGAAAAAGGAGGGGGCCTCTGAGCTGGGAAGTAAACTATATGAAACCCTTGAACTGCAAGGGACTTAAGGAAGGTAAAAATAAAGGACTGGTCTCTAAAAGATTCTGTAGTTTCAGTGCTAACAAAACTTTAGAGAATCTCAACTTGATTTTACAAATGTGGAGACTGAAATTCAGATGAATTTAGAATAATCTGGATCAAGCTTCAAAATTAATGCTATTTGCTTCTGAAGCAATCCTTAGTGCTGTTAAACTTATTCCTGAATATTCTGAGATTGCACAGTAGGTTAGATGATAATATTAAGTAAGCGCCAGTGATGAACACTTGGAGTTTTTTTAATACATAACTATAATTAAATAATTATTAGAATGAATGAGGAAACTGACTCGGGATTCGTTATGGTGCCTAAAGCAAGTAATTTGGGCCTTAATCCCATCTTGAGGTCCAGTGAGATGAAAACATTCTAAGTTTCAAATTCTGATTAATATGTTTGAGGACATTTGCACTGTAATCATAAGACTTTCACCTACCAGCTCTTGAGGAAAAACTGCTTGAGCCACCTGTCTTTTCTGTAGTTGGGATACTTTTGGTTCAGTGAATTTGGATGCTATAAGTTTTTTGGTTTTTTTTTTTTTTAAATAATACTCCCTTCTAGGTGTTGAGCATTTGTTGGTCTAATCCTTTGTTACCTCCTGATTAGTAAGCATGGTATTTTTTCATCATTTCGAAAATCTTTTGCTTAGGTTTGCTCTAGTGCAGATGGTGCCTATTTTGGCAGAATGGCATACTCATCCGGATTAAGGGGTGGGGATCCAATGTATTTTCTCCACTCCAGTTCCCTACTTTCAAAATAGAACCACAGTCTGGTTTATCAGGTTGAGTTACAGTTTCATAATACAGTTCCTACCCTTGTGACTAAGCTGTCTCTCGTGGTCTAATTCATCTTAGATTGATGTTTGGAGACTTAACATTACTTAGAGACTGTAGAGTCCACCCATTTGTGGCTGGCTTCTTGTTTGACTTGGGTAAGTAAAATGAGGTATAGGGAGGCTAAGTGAAGTAGTATTTAATATACAGTATTAAGAGTCAGATTTTTCCTGACTTAGTGGAAGCCTGAGCATTAAAAGTCCTGTTTTTTATCATTCAGCTCTGATTCCCCGTCATTATTGCCACTGACTATCTTCCTTGTTCCAGTTTTCAGTATTTGTTTCAGTTAGTTCATGCTCCTTGGGTAGACAGGGTAGAACTGTTCTAGTGGTGATTCTATGGCCTGTGAGAAAGACTTAGGGTTTGTTTGAGGGGGGAAGGGAAGAGCACAGCTGGGAAAGGGTAGAAAGCATGCTGTTCCCAGCTTACTTCTGGGCCTGTGCTCCCCATTTAGAGACTAATAGGCTGCTCTTAGACTGTTCTTCACCCTAAAATATTTCACTTAACTTTAGTAGAACTTGGGAAATGTGGGAGATGAGGAGAGGGATGTATTCTTACTTGACCACTGAAGTATGTTTGGGGAGGATTGCTGTTGCTTGTCACCTTCGTCTAATCCTGTATGGTGACTTTAATTCTCAGATTTAAAATTCCAATGTTTTCTGTGAGGCATGTTGTACCAAGTTGGGCTGTATAACTCACCTTTGTTTTTTTCCTTCCCTTTCCTCCTTTATCCTCTTTTTTTTTTTTTTTTTTTTTTTTTTTTTTTTCCTCCCCCACTGGTCATCTTCTGCCCTTCTCCCCACTCCTACCAACACCGCAAAATTGTTTTCTCATTTATGGCACCCTTAGCAATCATCCAGACAAGGCATTCTCCTCGGTGGTCCAGATAGAAATGGCAAAACTCACTGACCTTTAAACAAACATTTCTTTTTTTTTTTTTTTTTTTTTTTTTTTTGCTTTTGTCCTCCAGCTTTGCTTCCTGTGTCTTCAGCCTTGAGTGTCAGTGCTGCTTTAGGGCAGCCTAAACCTACCCCTACCCCTACCCCTCCTTGTTCCCTGGCCTCCCAGCAATGCCCTCTGGCAGCCCCTAACCAGCCTTCCTCATTCCTTTCTCCCTCTACTATTGCCTCAACCCCTTTTGAAGCTCCTTTTCCTGAGTCATCCACTGGGACAGCCCTGCCTTTGGGAGCTGCCCCTCCCCCCTCTGGCACCCCAGCTTTCCTGCCAAACCTAATAGGGCCTCCCATCTCCCCAGCTGCCTTAGCTCTGGCCTCTCCCATAATAACTCCAACTCTGAAAGGTGTTCATTCCTCTTCAGCTCCCTTGGCTCTGGTGGCCTTGGCTCCCCACTCAGTTCAGAAGAGCTCTGGCTATCCACCTAACCCTCCTAGTTCACCTCCTTCAGTTGCTGTGATTGACTCAGGGTCAGTGACGTCTCTATCAGCTCCAGTTGCTTCCTCAGAACCAAAGCCCTCTCCTCTTCAAGCTCCCTCTCAAGTAGTCCCTAATCCAAAAGATACCCCCAGCCCTCCAGGTATAGTCAGTTCTGTTTCTTCCCGTCTTGTAACTCCTTTGGTCTCTCTTCAGTCTGGACTAGCTTCATGTCCTCAGACACCACCTGCCACTCCCTTAGCCATCCCTTCCCCTCAGGTCAAAGGCATCCCTATTTCCTCAGCTCTGACTTCTCCACAAAACCCTGCAAGCCTCAGCCTAAAGGGACCCCTTAGTCCACCTGCTGCTTTATCTCTTTCAACTCAGTCTATTCCTGTGGCTCCTCATACCCCCCCAGTTTTCCTCACTTCTCTTGGTTCTCCTGTTCAACCTTCAGGTTCTAATATTCTGTCAGATCCCATAGAGGATACTGTTTCTGTAGATCGTTCTTCCACGGGTACCTCTTACCCTTCTCAGAGATCTCTAATTCCTCCCCTTCTTTACAAAAATGACGTGGTTCCTACTGCTGAGGCTGCTTTTCCAGTGGGAGCTCCAACTTCCCCTCTGGCTCTGTCTGCTGACAAAGGCCTCTCTGCTATCACTGACATAGCTTCTTCCAATGTAGCTACCTCTTCTCTGTTGTTTCCTACAGCCTCTCTGATTCTCAAAGACTCTCCTAGTGCTGCTCATCAACCTTTGGTGGCCCAGATTCTTGGTTCTTCTCCAGGGAGGCCAGGCTTGAAAGAAGCTCCTGTTTCTTCTGTTGGAAGCACCCCACTTGGGATGGCTAACTCCTCTACAGTTTCTGCAGCATCTGTTACCTTGGAGGTAGCTACTTGTGTCTCTCTTCCAGTTTCATCAGGTCCCATGAGCAGTAATGACTCAGTTTCCCAAACTGCCTTGGTTATGGCACCTGTGGCTCCCAAAGAGCTTCCTACTCCTGAGGTAACCACCACTCTGGGGATACCAGTCTCTCAACCTCTGCCAGCCCCCGAGAACCCCAAAAGTCTCCCTGTTTCACCAGCCCTGGCAGCCCCTAAAACTCTCCCTTCTCTCCAAAGTACATCATCTTCTCTGGAGATAGCTCTTTCTCCTGAAGCCACCTTAGCAAAGAAAAGCTTCCTAGAGCCTCTCCCTCTGGTTAAGCCAGCCAGTACTACTACTTCTTCTCTGGGGGTCAACTCCCCAACCTCTATAATCAAGACAGATTCTTATGCAAGCCCAGATCCAACTAGTCTGCTGCTCAAAAGTTCTCTCACTACCCCAATTGTAACTGCATTTCCTTTGGAAAGCACTGCCATTGATGGAATGGCTCCTACAACTGCCAAAGGTACCTCCACTCCTATACCTGTAGCCAGTCCTTTTCTAGAAGGAGCTGTCTCTTTAGATTCTAAAAGCCACCCTGCCAAGAAGAGTACTTCCACTCTTACTACTTTACCTTTGGTCCCTCCAACCTCTGAAAGTTGCCCTCTGGCTCCAGCTGTGACTTTATCTCCCCAGAATGTGTCTACTTCTCCAGCTACTGTGGCACAGGTCCCTGAAATTCCCAAGTCTGAGTCTTTTCCCCCTCTTCCTCCAGCTGGTACTCCTCAAGGTGCAAAGAAAGTTCATGGTATTTCTCAAACTTCAGCATTGGCACCTGTGGCTTCCTCTCCTGAAGGGTACCCAACTGAGGATTCTGGTGCTTCTGTTACTGCATCTTCCAAAGGAACTTATCTAACTGACTCCCCATCTCCTTTAGGGACTAGTGTGTCTCCTCAAACCAAAATAACTCCAACCAAGAAGGGTTCAGCTACTACTACCTTAAGTCTTGCTCCTTCTGTTTCTAAAAGTGTACCTGCTATCCCTGATACTCCTGCTGGAAATCTGTCATTCACTATTTCTCCAGTTGAACCTTCCTCTCTTCCAGAGGCCAATCTTTCTTTTCATGTCCGTAAAGGATCACTAGCCAAGAAGCATTCCCCTACTCCCCCATCCCCCAAAGAGGCTCCCATTCCCCTACCTATGTCTTCTCCTTCCCCCAAAGCGGGGCCAGCAACCCCATCCCCTAAAGAAACCCTAACTCCTCCAGCTGTGACTCCTTCCTCCCCCAAAGGAGCCCCAGCAACCCCATCTCCCAGAGAGTCCCCAGCTACCCCATCTCCCAAAGAGGCCCCCACTCCCTCAGTTGTGGCTCCTCCTTCCCCCAAAGGGGGACCAGCAACCTCATTACCTAAAGAGACCCCCACTCCTCCAGCTGTGACTCCTTCCTCCCCCAAAGGAGTCCCAACTACCCCACCTCCCAAAGGAGCCCTTACTTCCCCCAAAGGGGGCCCAGCAACCCCATCTCCCAAAGAGCCCCTCACTCCGTCAGCTGCAGCTCCTCCCTCTCCCAAAGGGGGCCCCACAACCACATCTCCCGAAAGAGCCCCAGCTACCCCACCTCCAAAGGGGGGCTCCACTCCCCCAGCTGTGGCTCCTCCCTCCCCTAAAGGAGGCCCAGCAACTTCATCTCCCAAAGAGGCTCCTGTTCCCTCAGCTCTGACTCCTTCCTCCCTCAAAGGGACTCCAGCCCCCATAAGAGCTCCGGCTATCCCACCTCCCAGAGAGGATTCCACTCCCCCAGCTGTGGTTCCTCCCTCCCCCAAAGGAGGCGCAGCAACTCCATCTCCCAAAAGAGCCTCAGCCACCCCACCTCCCAAAAGAGATTCCACTCCCCCAGCTATGGTTCCTCACACCCCCAAAGAGGCCCCAGCAACTCCACTCAGAGGAGCCTCTACTCCCTCAACTGCGGCTCCTCCCTCTCCAAAAAAGGCCCCAGCAACTCCATCACTCAAAGGAATCCCCACTCCCTCAGCTGTGGCTCCTCCCTCCCCCAAAGGGGGCCCAGCAACTCCATCTCCCAAAAGAGCCCCAGCTACTTCACCTCTCAAGGGAGACCCTACTCCCCCATCTGTGGCTCCTCCCTCCCCCAAAAGAGCCTCAGCAACTCTGGTCCCCAAAGAGTCTCCAACCCCAGACCCCAAAGAAGTCCCCACTTCCCCAGCCATGGCTCCTTCCTCCCCCAAAGGGGGCCCAGCAACTCCATCTCCCAGAAGAGCCCCACCTGCCCCACCTCTCAGAGGAGACCCTACTCCGCCATCTGTGACTCCTCCCTCCCCAAAAAGAGCCTCAGCAACTCCAGCCCTCAAAGAGGTCCCTAGTCCCTCAGCTGTAACTCCTTCCTCCCCGCAAAAGTCTCTAGCCCTGAAAGGGGGGCCAGCAACCTCATCCGCCAAAGGGGCTCCCACTCCCCCAGCTGTGATTCCTCCCTCCCCCAAAGAGGCCTGTACTTCCCCAGTTTCAGTCACATGTCCCTTGGGGTCCACTGCACCTCAGGCATCTAAAGGGCCCCCAATAAAGAAAGGCCCCACAGCTCTCAAAGCAGTGCTTGATGCTCCATCTCTAGAAAGTGCACCAGTCATCACAGCTCCCACTCAGAAGAGTTCTGTTTCACCTCCTGTGTGCCCAGATCCCTCAGCTCAGAATGGTACTAAAGGATCCCTTCCTACAGTGGCTCCAGCTCCTCTACTGACAGTCTGCACTCAGAAAGGTTCTTCTCCAAAGGCTCCAAAAGCCCTCCCTATTTCTCTCTTAAAGGGCAAAGACTCTTTCCATTCCCCAAAGGGCCCCTTGGCTCCTCCTGAGTCTGAGACGTCTACCCCTTCAGCAGCAGCTGCCCCAGAGAAGGTCCTTCCTAAAGCTGGATCTGCATCTGTCTCTCCAGCACCTACCCCATCAGTCTCTCTGCCTCTTGCTCCCTCCCCAGTTTCCCCTCTGCTCCCTAAACAGCAATCTCTGCCGTCCTCACCTGGGCTGGTGCTGGAATCACCCCGTAAGCCCTCAGCCCCTGCTGATGAGGATGAGCTGCCGCCTCTGATTCCCCCGGAGCCAATCCCGGGGGGAGTGCCTTTCCAGCCGGTCCTCGTCAACATGCCCACCCCCAAACCTGCTGGGATCCCTGCCCCAACCCCCTCTGCCAAGCAGCCTGTTCTGAAGAATAATAAGGGTATTTGCCTTGGTTTGCCGTGTGCATGGTGTGTTGCCCACAACCCTCCGGGGGCTACCCACCGATACTAACCGTAGGATGCGCCGCTTTCTCCAGTATATCTGCTTGTGTTTGGATGTAGAACGATAAGTATAAATCCAAAAGCTCTAGGAATATGAAACAGAATCTTGGTTTTCACCTCAGATAGTCTGTTGTATACCATCCTGTGTAATGTGGTTCAGACTAACTCTGGATCTGTCATCTTTTTTACCTAACTGATCTGACATTGAAAACCAAGACCTTCTAGACCTTTAATTTACTCTAAACTCTACTATATCACTAACTTTGTCCCTGGGCCTGGGATTTGCTAAAATATTGGGAAATCTAGAACTACTTGAATTTCTTTTCACATCTTAGACTTAGTAATAACCAGTGCCCAGGGACTCCCTTTTCTTAAAAGACCTATTTTTCCTAGCCTGGGAATGGTGCAGGTGTATGCTTTTTCCCTTAGTAGTCTATTGATGCTTGGCCTTTGAATTGAGGGAAACTTAAATATGTGAATTATTTTTGGAAGAAAATATCTAGTAGAGGTGGCTACAGAACTGTAGATCAGCATTTTTGAGAATCTTCAAGCTGTGTTGATTAGATCAAACTGCTAGGGTGAGTGGTTTGAAAATAAGGCTAAATGTGTGTACACAACTGCTTTTGGCCTCCCCCACCCAGTTTAAAGGATGAGGAGAAATCATCCCCCACCCCACCCCGCCTCCACAGTGTGATCTTACTTTTTTTTCACTTAAGTATATCTGGAGGCACCTTGTTTACCAGAACCTTTCTAAGACGGTTGGGCTCTTGGGTAGAATCTGGCGTTACATAAGTCATTGGTGTTTACCTGTGCCAAGAAGTGAAGACCTTGAGGGAAAGGAAGCAGTTACATAAACTGCTCGGCTGTATCTAGTAATTACCTCTCATTTCTGGGGCTGGGTCTTTAATAGATGTGTACACACTAGTTAGTGACTGAGTTGGGGGCTATCGTATCAGTACGAGCTGGCTTCATACAAGTCAGTTGGTTTACACTTAATTTTGCGAGGTCTAGCATAAGCCAGTGACGTCTAGTCTGGGGAGGCCATGGTGAGGTGCCTCTTCCTTGTAATCTTTACTATAAAATAGTAAAAGTTACTTGTCTTCTTAGGGTCTGGAACAGAATCTGATAGTGATGAATCAGTACCAGAGCTTGAGGAACAGGATTCTACACAGGCAACCACACAACAAGCCCAGGTAGGTATTCTCTTTTTTTTTTCTTTTTTTTTTTTAAATAAATTTACTTATTTATATTTGGCTGAATTGGGTCTTCGTTGCTGCGCGTGGGCTTTCTCAAGTTGCGGTGAGCGAGGTTTACTCTTTGTTGCGGTGCGTGGGCTTCTCATTGTGGTGGCTTCTGTTGTGGAGCGCGGGCTCTAGGCACACAGGCTTCAGTAGTTGTGGCACATGGGCTCAGTAGTTGTGGCTCACAGGCTCTAGAGCACAGGCTCAGTAGTTGTGGCACACGGGCTTAGTTGCTCCGCGGCATGTGGGATTTTGCCAGACCAGGGCTCAAACCTGTGTCCCCTGCATTGGTAGGTGGATTCTTAACCACTGCACCAGGTGGGTATTCTCTTAACTTACTAGTGTAAGTACTAGTAAGTTAAGGAAGTCAAGGAAGCATTGGAGGACCAGTGTTGATCAGAGAAGCTGACATGTATTTGGAGCTGTGAACCTTCATAAAGGGAAAACCACATGGGGATTGTGGTATCCAGGTCTTATATTCCAGTTTACTCATAGCTGTTTGATCTTCTTAGCTGGCAGCGGCAGCTGAAATCGATGAAGAACCAGTCAGTAAAGCAAAACAGAGCCGGAGTGAAAAGAAGGCACGGAAGGTAAGAGTTTACGTCATAAAGAAGGATCAAAGGTGGTGGTGATGAAGCACCTTTCGAGAGGGGAAACTGTAGCGGAACTCTTGGTAGTGGTAGAATCACGTTTAGTTAAACTAACAGAAGTTAACTATGGCAGAAAGCCCAGGAGGCCTGGAAATCAATTCTCTATTGCTATATAAACTTTTCTTAGCCCACAGAAAGTCTTTGCTTAGAATGTAGTTTTATTATGTTCCTTACTTCCTGAAGCTGCTTCTAAAGAAGTTGAAAACCTGATGTTCTTTTTTATTCTTTAGGCTATGTCCAAACTGGGTCTTCGACAGGTTACAGGGGTTACTAGAGTCACTATCCGGAAATCTAAGAATATCCTTTTTGTCATCACAAAACCAGATGTATACAAGAGCCCGGCTTCAGATACCTACATAGTTTTTGGGGAAGCCAAGGTAAGGAAAGTTCTTGGGAGTTGCTCTAGACCAGGGTTTCTCAACCTCAGAGCTATTGACATTTTGGGTCAAATAATTCTTTGTTGTGGAAGGGCTGTCTGTTTAGCAACATCACTTGCAGTGTGATGACCAACAAAATCTCCAGACTTTTGACAGATGTCCCCTGGGGAACAAAATCACCCCCCAGTGGAGAACCACTGCTTTAGACCTAAGTTATTTCTTTGTCTGCAGTAATATATAATCCAAGTGAGGCCACGTGATTTAAAGATACATAGTAATTTAATGTAAAGTGAGTTTAAGAGCAGGAGTTTGGAAAAGATATAAATGATTTCTTTGATTTGCTGCTGATCAATCTACTCACATGAATCTCTCTATTTTCTGCCCTATAGATCGAGGATTTATCTCAGCAGGCACAGTTAGCAGCTGCTGAGAAATTCAAAGTTCAAGGTGAAGCTGTCTCAAACATTCAAGAAAACACACAGACTCCAACTGTACAAGAGGAGAGTGAAGAGGAAGAGGTATATAAGGAAATCTTCTGTGCTTTTAATCCTCACAAGATAATACTATGTTTGTATTGATGGGTGGATTCTATATTATTTTAGGCTCTTGAACTCCATTGAGTTAAGTAGCTTTTGAGTTATATTAAGAGCTAGATTCAGGAGATGCCTGACAGAACTACTGAAGTTGTTCTTGCCTTTAGTTTATTAAGTGTTTTTTGCTCTCTCTTTTAGGTTGATGAAACAGGTGTGGAAGTTAAGGACATAGAATTGGTCATGTCACAAGCAAATGTGTCGAGAGCAAAGGCAGTCCGAGCCCTGAAGAACAACAGTAATGATATTGTAAATGCTATTATGGTAAGTGTCCAAGCCTTTATTCCTTGACTCCCTCTGCCCTAACCAATCGTGGGTGACTTTATTTTCTGTGCTTAATATCAGCCAATTAGGAAGCCTCTTTCCAAAGCCTTTTCTGAGTTGCCTCAGGTTTTAGTGACCTGAATTCTCTCAATTTGCCTGTAACCACCTCTGATGATCTCTTTTCTCTTACAGGAATTAACAATGTAACCATCTTGAAAAGAGGACCTTTTTTGGTGTTTCAAAAGAGTAACTGCAGCTGGGTTTGAAATTTGTACTGTTTCTATCATTAATAAAGTTATGGCTTCTTGTTGGATGAACTCAGTGGGTGCTTGATCTCTTCCCCCCAAAAAAACATGAAAGCTCTAGAAATGAAAAGGTTTAGTACTTCAGGTTCCCCTCTTAAAACCTCAGCCTTTTCACCTCTTGTGAGAAGATAACTGTTCAGGCTATCTATTAGGAACTTCTTGTTCTCAGAGACAACTGAAAGTTTCTCATTTCTTTCCCAGATGTTAACTAGTAGCAAATCCCGATTATTCTTACTCACTTTTTTAAAATAAATTTATTTACTTTTTATTATTTATTTTTGGCTGCATTGGGTCTTCGTTGCGGTGCACAGGCTTCTCATTGCAGAGCATGGAGGCACGCAGGCTTAGTTGCTCCGCGACATGTGGGATCTTCCCAGACCAGGGCTCAAACCTGTGTCCCCTGCGTTGGCAGGCGGATTCTTAACCACTGCGCCACCAGGGAAGTCCCTGATTCTTCTTTATTTAATAATTATCCCCTTCTCTGACCTGCGATCTTTCTGAATACATATTGGGCCCCGTCTGGCCTCTGTGGCAAGCATTTCATGTTGGTTACATCTTGTCATGTAAGAGCTTGGGACAGAGTTGGAGAGAATGCATAATGGATGGGGGTGAAATGACAGTACTTTGTAGCAAATGAAAAGGTACCTCATGAAGGAGAGATTTTGACTATTGATATACAGTACAGGCACTCTGCTCTTAGACATACACTGTACAGGCATATATTAATCTACAAAGTAAATTATGATTAGGGTAGCCATAGTTATGCTAGGATAATAAATGAAAACCAGAACTGTACCAGGCAAACTGGTGCATACAATTAGCCAGTTTGTGATAAATATAGATAGCTCTATAGAAGTCCTAAGAAGAATAAAATTTTTGCGTTTAGGTTGTTAGGAAATGGTTTGGGGGAAAGTGGAGGGCTTAAAATTTGGAAATAGGAAGGCTGCAAGTAAATGTAGAGTCAAGAATCCTAAAATGAATAAGTGGTAAGACACTTAGAACGAATATTAGAATAAGAATAAATTAGACTAACATTGCTGAAGGCTTTTGGAACTAAAGTTTAGATCTTTTTATTATTGATTATTCTCTCAATCTCTGAGAAAGTAGGCATTATTTTAGCAGTTGTGATTAAAAGCTGAGGACCAAAGAGGTTAAATGACTTCCGCAAAGACCAGAGCCCTTATGCTGTGGTAGCCTACTCTGGAGAAGCACAGATGGGTGTCTGGGGGAGGAGGAGGATCTGCTTCCATTTCACTGGAGTAGAACAAATTAGATCATTAAATGAACAAAGTCTCATGAGGCTAAAGTTTGCCAAGTCTGAGTCAGCCTAGTAATTCTCATTTCAGGAAGAAATTAGGGATATTAACTCATTTCCTCACCCTTCCCTCGACAGAGTTAACAAACTGCCAATTCTTGGTTACATTTTTAGAGAAGTATCATGTTGAAGGCTGTTACTGCCACTGGTAACTGTAATGCTCTTTATTCCCACCTCAAAGACCTTGCTATTGCTACCCCTTCTACCATGTATAACTGGCAAACCTCAAGAGATGTGGGTTCGGTTGCAGACCGCCACAATAAACAAA